TTGAGGATGGTAGAGGGAGTTATTGCATGTCCAGATCAAGTGGGTCTTATTCATATTAACCACCAAGTCCACAATAGTGGTCTTCACCAGGTCCTTGGCATTGTCGGCTGTTGGTTGGTCTCCTCCTCAATGACACACCAGATATAATAGTCCAGGGGATTCAAAGGCTACTTGTTGGAGGTGAAAAAGAAAATTTTTTAACCAGTTACTTCAGAGTCATGTAGGCCAAGTGATGGTTACCACCTTGATCAAGAACATGGCCACAATGTTCAGCAAATCTCAAATGTGATTTATTAGAATTTAATTTGAGAACAATATCTTACAAGTTCACATTCTAGCCTATTTTTCCAATCCTCACTCCAACCTTTTTTTCATTACTTTCAAAACCGTCTCCCAAAGCCTTGATTCTTATCAGAGATAATATATTTTCTGACTAACAAGAAAGCTGGAAAATATAAAAAGGAATTCCACCACCATTATTCTTTCTATGGTGCCATAAAGTCTGCGAGAAACCTCACAGCTTGTTCACTCCAAACTTTTTCATTACTTTCAAAACTGGCTCCCAAAGCCTTGATTCTTATCAGAGATAAGAATGTGTTTTCTGACCAATGGAGGGGCCAGGAAATTTGTGCAACGATTTTGGATGGAAAAGTCCCCGATCCTTCTGAGCCTCACAAATCTCCATAAATTTGGAGAATCTTCGCCTATTTGGCAGTGAGAATTCGACAACCATCAGACAATAGAGAACACAACTCAACTTCTGAACCGCTTTCAGCTGTCGAGAACAAACATTGGCCCACTATTAAAGACCAATTGAAAGCTGCCCCCTTTCACCTACAAGACTTCTGTTGTCGACCTATGAACTCACTCACCTGCAAAATTCCTATATCCATCAACATTTTCCTACTCTGTAAGAACTTTGGGAGTGTTTCTAACCATTAACAAAATTCTACTTAAAGAACTTTTAGGCACTCAGAGAAATATTTTGAACAAACCTTTTTTCTGTTATGAACATTTTCTCTTCCCTTAAAGGACTTTTTTTTTCCTCCCTTTCTTTCTCTCCTAATAGTCTTTTTATCCATTTAACTCTTTCTTTTTAGTATATTTAAATAAACACTTTCTTCTTTTATTGTTACACACTGAGTAGGAGTTTTTCTTTATTCGCCCACCTAAAAGAGAGAGTTTGTCCGCTCTAATCTTGCTGTTTTTATTTGCGTTTTGTTGCAATTTTTTAACCTCAACCATTTGATGTGGGAAAGCCAGGACAAATTTACCAACAGATTGACCCTCTGATGTTCTGCAGAAAGAACTGTGTGGTAGCATGATATTAAACATTGCTCATCACCCCAGGTCATTTTTTTTATAATGTGAACTTTATGGGCTTCAGTGTTGGTAAATTGATGGGGGTCTGTGTAGTTCCATTCATCTGGTTACTTTCAAAAAAAAAAAAAAAAAATTCTCATTTTTGACACCCATAAACACAGAATATATTTTCATTTCTGATGTCAGACTAGAAACTGTCCTGTTAATGCCCTTGATACGTCTGAAAGAGAAATGAAAATGTTAAAATTTGGCACATGCATTGTAAGATTACATTCTTCCATCTATATGGTCCACTAAATGTGTTCTCCAATACCTGATAAATGTACTTTCATGATTTCATGAAATAATCTGAAATTTTGTGCTTTAACAATATTAGAAAAAAAAAGAAGCTATAAATTTAAACCTTGAATTATTTTCAAACAATTGTTTTAATGTACCTAATGAAATTGCATTTCCAGGCTATTCTGTTTTGCTTCCATTCACTTACAAAATATAAACCTTGAATTCAAGTATAAACATTTAAAAAAAAAAAAAAAATGCGAAGTTACTGCTCTTTGATAGATCATTATTTTTTTAAAACCACTTTATCGCAGCTAAAGTTATGAAATGATACAAAATCTCTTAAAAGGATATTGCTTGCAATTCTTAAGAGGCACTTATATCGGATTTTATTATATTAAAGAAAAAGAAAATAATAATTAAAAAAAAGTTAATTGAGAAGCCCTTGGCCACCACGTATAACATGGGAGGTAACTCTGCAAGCCGGAGGAGGAAAATTATTTTCTCTACAACGAGCACGTCAAGAGAGTTAAATTTATATTGTTGTATCAATTTTTATGTAATTCTCGACCACCACACGCTCGAATCCCATTCCAAATAGCTTTTTCCTAAACATTTCTAAAAAACAAAACATAAATCATGTTATATAACATTTTAGTATAGAGTAAATGGGTTTTCTTTGTGTTGTATCATAAAATAAGAATTTTTAAAAAATACAAGATTTCAATTTCATGTTTTTACTATGGTATGGTGATGTTTTTTAAATTTTATATTTTTTCTTTTTTAATCACGTAATAATTTTTTGCAAGATGCAGTGTCTTTAACAGACTTCTACAAATTTAGAAATTACATGAATGCAAAGAAAACTTACAAGCTATAAAAATCTACTTTATTCTTCCGATTATTTTAAAAGTTTTTTTTTTTTTTTATAATATTGACTTTTTTAATTATTGATCATTGCAAGCTTCTCTCTCTGGCCTTGTTAAATGAACTGAAAAATTACTTCTGATTAAGCTGTAATATTTCATAAAGTGTTTTTTTTTTTTTTTGCTAAAGAGAAAACAAAAAAGAAAAAACAGGAAAAATATTTTAGGTTAATTTTAATTTTTGAAACATTTCAAAAGAGAGAAAAGTGGAGATAAAAAAAATAACAGAGAAAGACAAAGAAAAGCTGGAAAGAGTAAGTAGCAGTTAAGAAATCAGTCGCAGAAAATGATAGATAAGTCAAACGAAAAAGAAATTGAAGGTCAACCTTACACTAGTTAGAAAAAAAAAAAAAAAAAAAAAAAAAAAAAAACGTAAATAGTCAGGATTGATACCTGTTTCGTCAATAACAAGAATAACAATGGCTGCCTATTTTTTTTTTTTTTTAACTCTTATTTCATGTCTTATGTCACATTTCTTAAGCAGCACTTCGTCAATTTTTATAGAGAAGCTTGCCAGGAATATGCCAAACATATTCTACTTATATCTACAAAGAATATGAGAAATTTCTGAATTTCTATAATTTTTGCGATTTTTTCTTTTTATATCATTTATGCCAAAGATAATTTTAAAAAAAGTCATTGATACAACAAAATTGAGAGTCTATCAGAAATAAGAATCAAATACATTTTCAAATTTTCCATGGAAAAAAATTAAAACAGAGCTATTGCTATAAACGGGCATAAATCTCAAATCAAGTTTTAAGACTCAAAATATCCCAAAAACTCTTTGAGAGTGGATAACAACAATATCTTTTTTTTTCAAGAAAAAAAAAAATTTTTTTTTCTTTAATTTTAATGTTGGCCAAATTCAAATTCTGATAAACATTTCTGAATAATGATATCAAGTTTCTTTCAAGCAGACGAATTTTTAACCCTCCAATATCAGATTTCTTTATTTCATATTTAAGTATGACCACTCCTCATTTAACTGTTTAATGACCCCAGGAGTATAAAAAAATTGTAAAATAAAAATTAAATTAGAAATTCCTTAAAAATCCAACCAGTCAGTATTGTATATGGTATGAAAACTTTGATCATGACCATTTTCAAAGAAAGAGAAAATAAAAATAAAATTAACAAAATAAATCTAAAATTTACTTGTGCTTACAAGTTACAGAATATATTTTTATTTATTTATTTACCGTTCAGTACACTTCATAAACATTTTGAAATAATCTACCTCTATTTCTGAGATGAGGTATTGTAAGTATTTACACTATCTACATTGTTTGGACTGTTGTTCTCATCTTTATTGTCACATTCATGAGGTTTCAGCTGTTGTACACTCTGGTCTTCTTCAGGTGATATTCATTGGAATTTTGAACTGAACCCTTTACTTAGTCCACGGGGGTAAATTGTTCTAATTCCACATACCATGCCTTTAGATGTCTCAGTTTTAGTTAATTCACCTTGATAACTCTCAAAAGATTTTGTTCTCTCTGTTGAGACCAGGGATTAAACTTGGCACTCTCTGGGAAAGTCACCTTTTTGATCAATCAACCAATGATTCTATCCACTAGGCCATGTGTCCTTGAAAGAGTTGCAAGTTCAATCCCTGGCCTCAGTGGAGAGAACAAAAACTTGGAGAGTTATCAGGCAAGTTAACTAAAACGGTGACAACCAAAATCATGGTATGTGGAATTACAACAATCTACCCTTGTGGAGTAAATAAAAGGTTCAGTCCGAAATTCCTACAGATATCACCTGAAGAAGGTTGGAGCATATAACGGCTGAAACGTGATTGCGACAAAGATGAGGATGACAGAACAATGTATATAGTTTAAATATTTTGAAATAAATTAGAAACTTTATAAGTGGTATAAAAGTGACACTAAATCTGAAACTAGTTGACACAAAGTCAGTAGTATGTCTGAGAAAGACAGTTCAAATCAACTTCTCAACAGTCAACCAAGTTGTTGGAATGGACACTTGTTGTTAAGTGAGATGTGATGACAAATGTCTATCAACTCAGAATGATTATGTTAGAGTGTTCGAAATTCTGACACTAGTTTTTTTATTGCCTACATTTATTGAGAGGATTAACAAAAAAAAAGTCTTGTCTATAAGTTCTTAAGCTTTTGTTTGCACAACTGATCTCCTTTGTGTCATTGATGCTATCATGTGTTCAGCTGATTCATAAAACATCTTTATTCAGCTGAATGCATGATACGGTTCATATAGTTTACAATGTTGAAGAATGAAGAAAGAGAAAAAAAACAGCATAATAGACATGCTGGTCATGCATGCAAGTCAGACTAGGAGAGATTTTAGCCAAGTGTGTTTTTTTTTTTTTTTTTTTATTATGAAGACTGGGTTGCCATGGTAGTGTCTATGTTGAAGAGAAAGTTTTGAGAAGTTTGGATTTTTTTAGAATTGTTAATAGTATAAAAAGCTGAGCAATAGAAAACTTACCAACAAACTCGGCAGTTCCCATCATAGCTCTGTTGTCTAAACCAGGCTTTAATTTTCTGGACAGGCCAAAATCTATCAGTTTGATCCGTTGACTTGATCTGCTTACCATCAGAATATTCTCAGGCTGAAAAGAAAAAAAATAAATTTATAGAGAATACTAAACTTTTATCTATTTATTTTTTTTTAATTTTTAAAAGCTTTCATTTTTCTGCTCTTGGTGTATTGGATATTTTACTTATTTGCAAGTGCATGAAAATTATGTTAATATTTAGGAATTGAGGTTTAATGGCAAAGTTGGTTTGTGAATTTGGTGACAGTGGTTGCAAGTTCAATCCTTGGTTTAGGCAGTGTGTACTTGCACTCAGTAGAAACAGCAAGCAATAAGGGAACAGTACAAAATAAGATTTCTTTAGACATGAGCGGTGGAACAGTCGACCCCTCAGAGATTAAATAAAGGACACAATTTGGAATTCCCTGTAGGTTGCCTAGATTGATAAACACCTGATAATGGTCAGAGGGCACAACAGCCTAAATGTTATGATAAAAAATATACCAAAGATGTGGACAATAGTCCAAATATAAATAGGATGACAAAGATTTATCATTTTCTTCAATGCAAGTGATAAGAATGCAATTAAAACATATTGAAAATAAATATTAAAAAAATAAAGTTATTGACAGGTTGACAAAAGAATTTATAAAAAATTGAGTTAAATCAAGAGAACTATTTGAATGGATTTTTAAGTGAAATATTTGTAATCATTTATTAAATGATAATACTTATATATATATAATTTGAGGTATTATGATTACTTGCTTTATTTACATTATTTAGACTCATTTTCATTGCCATATTCACAACGTTTCGGCCATTGTATGCTGCGGCCTTCTTCAGGTGATTGGAATTTCAAACCAAACCCCAGTGGATGAAATAGAAGACTTGGTTCAAAATTCCAATCACCTGTAATGAATATGGCAATGAAGATAACAGTTTGAATAATGTAAAAAAATGCAAGAAATACTTGTAATCATTTATTAAATGATAATACTTCAATCAGATGTCAGATCCTTTTATTGATTTTCAATTCAAAAGAAAAACAAATATAAATTTAAACATTTTATTAATTATATTAAAACAGTATTTTTTGAAGAATACTTGAATAAGGTTTGATAATCAGCATGTGTTAAAGACAAAGTGTTGGATTCATCATGATTCTTTATTCAGTGTTATCAAATCAGATTTAAGTTGATCACGTATTGTATCCTTCAATATGGCAGCTAAATATTGAGCCTGTCTTCTAAGGGTGATTTTGTTAAACTGTGTTTTCATCCTTATAGATAGCAGTGTTAGCACAATTCCTCTTTATATATCTTGACAATCCAACTAAAAAGTGCAGAACAACACTGTTGGTATTTAGAGAAAGATGTGTTAATGAGCAAACAATAAAATCATGATATTATATTTGTTTGTATTTTATGGCATATCAACCTCGTTGGGTTATTTAATGGCAATAATAGATATTCAGGCTTTGATAACTAGATAGATAGCTTATCATTCATACTTCGATATAAAGATATATGTCGATATTTACACCTTGACAATCAGAAAGCTTGATAATCACACTTCGATATATAGATAGATATTCTGGCCTTAAAGGCTCTTGCAAGTAATTTAGCAGAGCTTATCATGATGTTAAAAATATCATTCTGGAAATGAAAATCTTTAGAAGGCAAACAAAAATTTTAAACTTGTTGAATTAATCTTTGAACAATTCACACATTTTGAGGGATCCTTAAATCAATGGTTTTTAATTTACTTTATGGCCCAGCCTCATGAAATCATTCAATAAAACTGAAATGGAGTAAACTGTGAATTTTTTTTTTTTTTTTTTAGAATTAATTAGTTAATCCTGAATATGACCATTTTCAGTGTCAGCATGTTTTCTACTTTCCTCAGTGAAATTTCAAAATAGCTTCCCCAACACCCCCATGGGCTATCCTTCCCATATTCACCATCTTAAATTTAAAACAAAAACAAAAAAAAAATAAAAATGGTTTCACAGTTTGTTTATTTTAATTTACTTGCAGCAGTAATAATAACTAATTTCTGGACTATAGTGTTACTTGTGATAAAAGAAAGAAAAACTGATCCTTTTAAATAAGTAAATGCATATTTTGAATAAATGCTCTTTTTTATAAAACAGTGTTTTATTTTTTCCTACAAAGTTGAATATTTTGGAGATGAAAAAAAAAAATCTTTTCCAACATATTTAAATACAGAGAATCAATTCTAGTTTGGCAGACAATGAGAATAGAGCATTTTGCCCTAATGAGGTAAATGCTTCATTTATTTGAAACTAATAATCAAGTTAAATACATTTTCTGACTTATTACAAACTATGAATTGTAAGGAACAATTTTTTTATTATTATTAAATAAAAGCTAAAATTTAGTTAAATATCTAGAAAAAAAATATTTTAATTTTTTTTTAAAAATTATACTTTTAATAACATTGAAGTAATCATAATTGGCGATTTGAAAAATTTATCTAGTAATATACTAGAGTGTAAGTAACTGCATGTGAACAAAACCAATGAAGATATTGAATGAACATAATAGATTGGCCTCATTACCTACTTGCATAAAATCTACCCCTTTCATTGTTTCCTGGTTAGTCACTTGTTCAAATTCAGGTGTGTCATCATTTACCTGATCTAATATTTCAATGCAATTTGTTTGACAAACTATATCTTCATAGTGTTTTTTTTTTTCATTGTGACAGTAGCAGGATCAGAGCTTATTGCTTAAGTTTCAGTCAACAAAGCAAAGAACATGGCAATACACATGACAGCAATCTGTGCAGCCTTACAATAAGAAACAAAGTCCACCAACTGCACACAAAAAACTGGTAAAGTATGTATACAGTGTTGTCAGCTATGATACGAGTAATCCCTTGATAAATAACTGAATTACAATACAGAAGAGTGACTAACAAATAAGAAAAATTACCACATTCTCCCCTGGTTAAATAAAATTAACAGCATTAAATTAAAAAAAGAAAAGAAAAGCCCAATTTAGAATCTGCAAAAGAATAAGCCAAGTACAGCAATACATCACTAAGTTCAGGTGGTTTGTAAGCACACACATACTCTCTATATATATATATATATATATATATATATATATATATATATATATATATATAAGAATAATAATCAGACAAAGAATTAATCAGTAAAGTTAATGTAATTAATAGCAAAATGACTTTGCTAACAGATTTAATAAAGCATTAATTTACTAACCACTCATTTCATTCAACAAGTGGTTAGTAAATTAATGCTTTATTAAATCTGTTAGCAAAGTCATTTTGCTATTAATTACATTAACTTTACTAATTCTTTATATGATTGCTTCTTTAAAATATTATTTATACTGCACCATTTGAGATTATATATTACACACACACCTCTCTAATGGATCCTGGTCAGCAGGACAATGAAGATCCATGTGAGCAATCAATGGCATGCCTACAGTAGCAATGGATACAGATTTGTTTTTCTGCATTGTGTTTTGATCAGAATCCTCATGATGACTGATATTGTTATCTGATACAATTCATCTTTCCAGGAGTTAGGACTGGGTCCTGAATTTTAAACAGACTATTTCATAAATAACCTGCTGGGGTTCAAATACTGTTGTTCCCTGCCATTATGAAGACACAAATAGGGACATAAAGAGGATTTGATTCAAGGAGTTTTGTGTCTGATATAACACCTCAGGAGGACAGCTCCAGGTAAAGACAACCAAGTTGAAATAGAGCATCCACTAGTTAATCACAGTATTGGAAATTAAATAAATAAATTCATGCAGAGTAGAATCAACAACAGAATGCATATTGAATGCAATGTATTCTATAGAACAAGCTCTCAATGAGTCATAGGCAAGTATTGTGATTTAATTGAAAAAGTCTATAGAACCTGCTATAGAATTCAATCATATCATTTATATGCCCAATGCCTTGAGGATTATAAGGGGTAGATTGGCTAGTAGAAATATTTTCTCATACCCATTGACAGGAATAAAGTAATTCTGTCCAAATGTATGAATGCTAGCATGCCAAAAACAGCAAATAACTGATAGCAAAATCCAAGACATGATATCTAGATGAGCAAAAAGAGAAAGGAAAGCAAGAGAATTCATCAATTAGTTGAAGTCGATGGCAAGCACCTTTTAAAATCAACACTTTTGCTTTGATCAAATGTGATATGCAAGGTTGATGTAGCTGTGATTTGTACCAAGTACAAATGTGTATGAAGCGAAAACTCTTAGTTCATTGTTCTAATAATGTATAGCATTCACAGGTCTAACAAAGAGAGTTGTGAAATTTAATCAACACATCTCAACTTCTTAAAATCAAACATGAATACCATGGATTTCTCAACAGTAAAAAAAGGGTAAAAACAGCTTCCAGTTAAGTAGTGTCTCAACCGTGTAAAACCTCCACAATAGTATATGCCTCCTTTTCTCTTACCAAGTGTTTTTGTTTGCTAGCATGTAATCTCCTTGTAAAGAAAGCCACTGGTTTACTTGATTGATTTAAAGTAGCAGCAATAGTATGATCCAATTCATCTGCCTTTATATAAAAAGGGAATTCTTACATCAATAAAATGTGTCACATCATTTTCTAGCTCAGTTTTAAAGCATTCAAATGCCTTTTCAGCTATCATGGGCGGTGAAAATGTCTCAATTTGCATAAAAGGATCAATTTTCATAGAGTAATTAGCAATCCTTTAGAAATAGTACAAGAATACACCTATAGCACAATGTTGTGATTTCATGAACTGAGCAAGTTCTTTTAGAAGCTGAAGCTTTTCTGGAGCAGAAATAGCCAAAAGATTCACAAATTACAGGGAAGATGCCCTTATTACGATTATAAGTCAAATTAAAACATCACAGCATTTTCAGTATATCTCCTGAGGTTTTGCCTCACTTTGACACACAAATGGTTATATTTTCTAGGTAAGTAAATGGATCAGAAAAACTATTGTTGATAATGAATTTGTGTTGGAAACAGGCAATTCTATTGGATATTTCAAATGGAATCCTCAAAAGCAGTTTAAAATT